TTATTATTATCATTAACATCGTTATCACTGTTATTATTAGTAACGCTGTTATTGTCATTATTGTTATCAATGTCACTTTTACTATCATCATTTGATTACTATCATCATTGTCATTATCATTATCGTAACCATGATAATCATTACTGTTGCTATTAATATTGTTGTTCTTCTTCTTATTGTTGTTATCATTTTTTTCTATCAGTGTTATTATTGCTATTTTATTGTTATCATTATTACATTTGTTTTAGGATTATTATCATTAGTATTATTATTAACATTATTTTTATTATTGTTGATATTATTATCATTATTTTTATCATTATCATCCTTATCATTTTCATTATTATTGTTATTTTTTTTATCAAATTATCATTACCGTCATTATAAGTATTACTTTTATCATTATGATCATAATTATCATTAAAATTATCATCATCATTTTGATCATCATTATTATTATTACTATTATTATTATCATTATTATTATTATCGTTCTTCTTATTGTCATTATCATAATTGACATATATATTATCATCACCATTATCAATATCCATATCATTATTATGAATGTTATAATTATGTTATTATAGTTAAGATCCCTAATTACTCTTATCATTATCGGCATTATGATTACCATAATTTTTATTTTAATAATCATTATCATAGTTTGATTATTATTATAATTCTGTTGTTACTTTTATTGTTACAATGATGGTGATGATGATGATGATGATGATGATGATGATGATAATGATTATAATGGTACTAATAAAGAAATAATAGATAATAATAATGATAATAATAATAGTAATAATAAGAAAATTAGTAATGACAATAATGATAATACTAATAGTAATAATAAAGAAATAACTTATACACAAATAAAATGATAATGATGATATCAATAGTAATGAAAACCATTATCATTATCGTCACTTCTATGTTTGTCACTGTTATTACTATAATCATTATTATCTTTATCATCATTATCATATCAATTGTTATAATAACCCTTAATATTATTATGATGATTTCTATTGTCATTATTGTTGTTATCATTATTATCATGAATATTATCCTTATCATAATCATTGTCATTCCTATTATTATCATAATCATTATCATGATCATTTATCATCATCATCATGACTGTTACTACTACTATCATCACTATCATTATTATCGTTGTCATCATTATCATTATTATTATTATCATAACTATAATTGTTACTCTGATTATGAATTCTATTATCATTGATATGATTTTCGTTATCATCATTTTTACTTTTTATTGTTACTATTGTAACTATCATTAATATTGATATTATTGTATTATGTGTTGGGTAGAGCGGTGGTAGCATGCTCGTCTAGCAATCTTGCTGACCAATCACACCAGCAATAAATATTGAATAAACATTTGTATTATTATTATTATCATTATTATTATTATTATCATCATCATCATCATCATCATCATCATCATCATCATCATCATCATCATCATCATCATCATCATCATCATCATCATCATCATCATCATTATTATCATGATAGTGATAATTATTATGATAATAATAGTAATAATACTAACATTTGTAATAATAATAATAATAAGAGTAATGGTAACAACAATAATAATGATAATGATAAAGATCGTCACAATAGTATTGATTATCATAATAACGATAGTTGTAATGATAATGATAATAATGTCGGTACCATTAATAATAATAATGATATTAATAGTAAAAACAACTACAAAAAAGCAAATAATAATCATAATAATAATGATAACTGTAACAACAAGATCAATTAAAATAAAAGCGTTAATAAAGATCATAAAGATAATAATGACAATGACAACAGTAATAATAATAACCGTCATCGAAGGGACAGGAATAATTATGACGCACCATATCATATATTCATCAAAATAATTAGTACCCTATACATTATGTGTTGCCACGTTCATTAGTATTGCAAGTATTATTACGATCTTACATTATTGAAATTATCATATTACGTTCAAGTTATTAGATTTCTCTAAACTTTATATTTTTGCTGGGATTTTCACTAATGGTGCTATCAACATCATCAATAAATACTTCATGTGTATATCATTCTTTTTATTATTATAATCACGATTAGAAATATCCTTGTTAGATAAATGCAGTAATGAATGTACAGTATTTAACACTGGTCATTTTCGTATCGATACCATCACTTGGAAGAAACTCACGCAAATCCCAGCAGCACCGCCCGCGCGCTTCCAAAGTCTGATGGGGACATTCTCCAGCACTGATCAGGCAACTGAACTGGTTCAAGTCACTGCAGATAAATGGAAACGACCGCATTCCCTTATTTTCGGAGAAAGTGAATGATATTTCAGCAGTCGAGTGCAGTATTGGCGACTTGAAAGTAAAGACTAGAATCTTCTTTTTTTCAGGTCAACCGTAAGCAGGTCATTTATCTTTGGTTGAGTTCCAATGTGTTAAAATACCTGTAAATCAACCTACGCCACGAATTCGCTCTGTAAACCTGAACCACTTATGAAATTATTGATCGATACCATGGCAACTAGGCGTGGAATCGAGGAAGCTGCACTATGCAACTAAAATTACGCCCGTGCGAGGCCATGGTTTATTCAACAGGTCAACGCTAAGGACAGGCAAGTGCTAAAGGAGGGAAGACGGAGGAGGCCTGATGAACCGCAGGGCCCCTAAGCCACAGAGTCCCTTCTCATGCGTATGGATAGTGGTGTACAAGATAGTTAGGGAAACTGTATTCATGTCATCATCCAAACCGGGGATAGATAGCGTAATCGGTATTGGCAGAACAGATCTTCCAGCGAGTCCGGTAGTGCATTGTGCAGATATGTCCGCAGTTTTTAGGCAGAGCAGGAACGTTACCAGATATTTTTGAATTATATTTATAGACATTTAAAACATTTCGGGAGGACATGTAGCAACAAGAAGGAATAAAGCTACTTCATCCCATTTCTAAACCTGGTAGAATGGTGCCATAGCAAGGAATTACAGGCCAATATAAAATAAAGCATATTCATTTCCAAAAATCACTGGAATACTGGACTCTGTTCATAATGAAGGCCTCAGTATCAACACAGAGGGATGTATGTTCTGATCTTAGCAGTCTCTCAGCGCTGTGAGGGAACCATTTCTTTAATCAACTCTGTCTTACTGGACTCCTGCACTGATTTCAGGGCGAACCCATGGATGCGTTAATACGATCAGAGCTCAGACGCAGAACAAGGACTGGACTCGTCCATACTGCGACTAAAGTTTGGTCTTGAAGCTGGACAGAAGAGCGTGCCTAACCTCGTGTCTTAGCCAGGTGGAGAGGATGAAGGTAGCCTTCGCTTGTCTGAAAATGATTACAAACTTTATGAATAGATTTTCCATGGAAAGACAAGGGTATGTTTATGTGGCTTGTAAACATCGCCCTCATTAGAAACATGGTCTATCCACGCCCGACTGCGGGACGAATCCACACAGGTGCCAGGCCAGTCACATGTCCAGCGACCGCTTCTTGCTATCCATAGTACAGAGGATTACGTGGGCAGGGCAGACACGTCGTTTAGTATCATTTGCATCATTTTTGTTATTACTTTAATATCATTCTATTAATTTTGATATCATCATTATCGCCATTGATATTATTAGTATTAGCCTCATCATCCTCGTCATCATCATCATGATCATTAGTATCATCATTAAGATTAAAGCTATCATCCTATATGGTTTTAATCTTCAATTATAACATTGTTGGTGTTTATGCTATTTTTTACAGTTGAAGGTGAAAATACGACGACGACGATGTTGATTATGAAACTGAAATATAATTAAGATTGTTATCGTCATCCTTATCATAATTTTCCTTATTCTTTTAATCTGATAATGCTGAACGTATTTTATGCACTTTAATTCAAGATGTTTCGTTTGTTGAAAGATGCACCATGATAGTATTAAAAAAAAAAAATAAAAAATAAACTTGAATTATTGCATAAAAGTTTAGCTTTTACTATTTTTCCCCGTTTTAATAAAACTTCTTCATTTCCTCTGCTTGACCATACTTATGAGGGAATCTCAATGAATAGGCAACTTACAAAAAAATACTTGAAGAGGATAATGAAAAATAGTAATTCCCCTTGCATAGAAAAAAAAACAACATACATATGCTTTCAAATTTTGCCGTCAAATATGATATTGATAACCCGCTCAAACTGCTACAGGCAAAAGTCCTAACGCCTGTATGAATTAGAAATGAACACACACGTATATACAAATGAAGGCTTGTGCATACACATCTGAATAATTGCAAACATGGACCCACGTACCCAGGGCGAGTGAAAACAGCTAGAGAATCGTGCCCGCGTCTGTAGATCTTTCTCACCTGCCAAGGAGTCTTATGCCAAATAGATACAAATTCGTTTGAAATTCGAAATATAAGGTGTGCACGAAAACGATAGCAGCGAATATGCGAATGGCATGTTGGCGGAGGGGATACGACGCATGTGGATGGTTTAGACAGATATATAGAAAAGGAGACGTTCTGCCAACAGTCGAGTTATGACGGCGGTAGTTAGAGCGGTGTCAGGAGGACATTCCGCGGCTCTTCGGGTGGCGGGAGGAGCGGCCGGCCCCGTCAAGGGTCCTTTAGGTGTGTCGAGTCATTCTCCTTACAGTATCCTCTATCAGATGCACCTGGAAGCGCAACTGCGAGATCCAAGGACCCACAGGATAGCTTCATATTAATCCTTATATCTCTATTCTAAAAAGGAACCCAGCAATATATGTATATAATCTATGTATAGCATCATTGTGTGTATGTGTGTGTGTGTGTGTGTTTGCGTGTGTTTAGGCGTGCGTGCGAGTAAATTCAATAGTATGGTTATCCTGGATATTCGCTTATAGGCATACGGAATTCATTATTGATTTATAAATACACCACTGAACAGTCTTTCATGCGAATCATTGTGGGCAATGAGACCTGCCACTAAGGAGCTTACTGTACTCTCTCTCTCTCTCTCTTTCTCTCTCCCTATCCTCTCCTCTCTCTCTCTCTCTCTCTCTCTCTCTCTCTCTCTCTTTCTCTCTCTCTCTCTCTCTCTCTCTCTCTCTCTCTCTCTCTCTCTCTCTCTCTCTCTCTCTCTCATTCACACACACGAATGTGTGTATGTGGGTGCATATAAGCACAAGAGTAAACATGTATATTCGTGTGCGCATGCACTCTGGCTGAGCGTATAAGAAAGAAAGGGTGCAAAGAACATATTGCTAAATAATGTGTGAGGCGTTACAGAGAAAGAGTGGGAGAAGAGAAAAAATGACACGTCATTGTTTAAACAAATTATGCTGTGTCAGAAGTTTACAGAATTAATAATCATGCAAATATCAGTCTGCTCGCGCGGCTGGCAACCGCGAAGATTCGTTATATTTTAACTAAGAATTGCACAAAAAAATTCAGCAAGTGAACTGATAGTACTTGTAATCGTACTATTATATCAACTGATGTGAAGAATACAAGAGTCAGTGAACGTACGCTTACTTCTTTAGTGTAACATAGATAAGAAAGTGTCATAGAATTGACTCTTGAAAATAATTTGGATTGTATTTGTTTCTATAAAACTGATTTACAGAAAAGTTGTCAGATTAATGATCTACAGGAGAACATTGCAAAAACAATAAAACATACAGTTGTAGTAGCCACAATATTGTTAGTACTGTGCTGCAAAGATTATGGTACGATGAGAATCATAAGGATAATGATGAAGTCTATAAGAATGACAATGATGATAATAAAAAGAAACTAATGATAGTATTAGTAGAGTAGTGTTCGCAGTACTGGCATCATCATCATCATTATCACCATCTTCATTAGCATCACCATCATTATCATCAGCAGCAGTAGTAACAGTAACATCATCAAAATCATCATCATAATCAACATTATCATCAGCAGCAGCAGTAATCGTGGAAGCAGTAGCGGAAGCAGCAGCAAATATAGTGGAAGTAGCAGAAGGAGCAACAGAATCAGCAACAGTATCAACAGTATCAAGCAGCAGGAACAGCAGCAGCCACAATAGTGGAAACAGCAACAGGAGCAGCAGGAGCTAGAACAATTGAAGCAGCAGGAACATCAGAAGCAGCAGCAGCGGGAGCAGCAGCAGCAACAACAATAGAAGCAGCAACAATGGAAGCAGCACCATCAACAACAGTAGAAGTAGCAGCTGGAGCAGCAGCAGCAACAACAGTAGAACTAGAAGCAAAAGTAACAACAGCGGAACCAGCAGCAGGATCAGCAGCAGTAACAACAACAACAAAAGTAGAAGCAGCAGCAACATAAACAGTAGAAACAGCAGCAGGAGCAGCAACAACAGTAATAACAGGAGCAGAAGCAGCAACATCAGTAGAAGCAGCAGCAGGAGCAGCAACAGTAGAAGCAGCAGCAGGAACAGCAGCAGTAACAATAATAGTAGAAGCAGGTGCAGCAGCGGCGGCAGAAACAGCCGCAACAACAGCGAAAGCAGCACCAGGAATAGCAACAACAATTGAAGCAGTAGCAGGAGAAGCAGTAGCAACAGCAATAGTGGAAGCAGGAGCAGCAGCAGCAATAAGAACAGTGGAAGCAGCAGCTGGAGCAGCAATAACAACAACAACGGAAGCAGCAATAGGAACAGCAGCAGTAGAAGGAACAACAGTAGAAACAGCAGCAGCAGGAGCAGAAGCAGCAGCAGTAACAACAATAGTGGAAGCAGCAGCAGCAGGAGCACCAATAACAACAGCTTCAGCAGGAGCAGCAACAGAAACAACAGCAATGGAAGCAGCAGCAACAACAACAACAGCGGAAGCAGCAGCAGCAGCAACAGTGGAAGCAGCAGCAGCAACAACAACAGTGGAAGCAGCAGCAGCAGCAGCAGCTTCAGCAGGAGCAACAGCAACAACAACAGTGTAAGCAGCAGGAGCAGAAGTATCAGCAACAGCAACAACAGTGGAAGCAGCAGCAGGATCAGCAGCATCAACAGTGGAAGCAGCAGCAGCAACAAAAGGAGCAGCAGTAGCAGGAGCAGCAACAACAACAGTGGAAGCAGCAGCAGCAAAAGGAGCAGCAGGAGCAGCAGCATCAACAGTGGAAGCAGCAGCAGAAGCAGCAGCAACAGCAACAACAGTGGAAGCAGCAGCCGCAAAAGGAGCAGCAGGAGCATCATCATCAACAGTCGAAGCAGCAGTAGGAGCAGCAGAAGCAGCAGCAGTAACAACAACAGTGGAAGCAGCAGCAGCCGGAGCAGCAGAAGCAGCAGCAGTAACAACAACAGTGGAAGCAGAAGGAGAAGGAGCAGCAGCCGCTTCAGCAGGAGGAGCAACAGCAACAACAACAGTGGAAGCAGCAGGAGCAACAGCAGCTTCAGCAGGAGGAGCAACAGCAGCTTCAGCAGGAGGAGCAACAACAACAGTGGAAGCAGCAGGAGCAGTAGGAGCAGCAGCAGCAACAACAGTGGAAGCAGCAGCAGCAAAAGGAGCAGCAGGAGCAGCAGCATCAACAGTGGAAGCAGTAGTAGGAGCAGCAAAGGCAGCAGCAGTAACGACAACAGTGGAAGCAGCAGCGGCAGGAGCATTAACAACAACAGTGGAAGCAGCAGAAGGAGCAGCAGTAGCTTCAGTAGGAGTAACATCAGTAGCAGGGGCAGCAGCAGTAACAACAACAACAGAAGAAGCAGGTGCAGTAGCGGCGACAGAAATAGCCGCAACAACAGCGGAAGCAGCACCAGGAGCAGCAACAGCAGTGGAAGCAGTAGCAGGAGCAACAGTAGCGGTAGCAATAGTGGAAGCAGGAACAGCAGCAACAATAAGAACAGTGGAATCAGCAGCAGGAGCAGCAATAACAACAACGGAAGCAGCAGCGGTAGTAGGAACAGCAGCAGGAACAACAGTGGAAGCAGCAGCAGCAGGAACAACAGTGGAAGCAGCAGCAGCAGTAGCAACAACAGTGGAAGCAGTAGCAGGAGCAGCAGCAGCAGTAACAACAACAATGGAAGTAGCAGCAGCAGTAACAACAACAGTGGAAGCAGCAGCAGCAGTAACAATAACAGAGGAAACAGCAGCAGCAGAAGCAGCAGCAGTAACAACAACAGTGGAAGCAGCAGCAGGAGCAGAAGCAACAGCAGCAGTAACAACAACAGTGGAAGCAGCAGTAGCAGAAGCAACAGCAGTAACAACAACAGTGGAAGCAGCAGCAGCAGGAGCAAAAGCAGCATCAGTATCAACAACAGTGGAAGCAGCAGGAGCAGCAGCAGCAGCAACACCAGTGGAAGCAGCAGCAGCATCAACAGTGGAAGTAGCAGAAGCAGCAGCAGTAACAACAACAGTGGAAGCAGCAGCAGCAGGAGCAGAAGCAGCAGCAACACCAGTGGAAGCAGCAGCAGCAGCAACAGTGGAAGCAGCAGAAGCAGCAGCAGTAACAACAACAGTGGAAGCAGTAGCAGCAGGAGCAACAGAAGGAGCAGCAGCAACAACAGTAGAAGCAGCAGCAGCAGAAGGAGCAGCAGCAGCTTCAGCAAGAGGAGCAACAGCAACAACGACAGTGGAAGCAGCAGAAGGAGCAGGAGCAGCAACAACAGTGGAAGCTGCAGCAGCAGATGGAGCAGCAGCAGATTCAGCAGGAGCAACAGCAACAACAACAGTGGAAGCAGCAGCAGCTTCAGCAGGAGGAGCAACAGCAACAACAACAGTGGAAGCAGAAGCAGCTTCAGCAGGAGGAGCAACAGCAACAACAACAGTGGAAGCAGCAGGAGCAGTAGCATCAACAGTGAAAGAAGCAGTAGGAGCAGCAGAAGCAGCAACAGTAATAACAACAGTGGAAGCAGCAGCAGCAGGAGCAGTAACAACAACAGTGGAGGCAGCAGAAGGAGCAGCAGCAGCTTCAGAAGGAGGAACAACAGCAGCAGCAGGAGCAGCAGCAGTAACAACAACAGTAGAAGCAGGCGCAGCAGCGGCGGCAGAAACAGCCGCAACAACAGCGGGAGCAGCACCAGGAGCAGCAACAACAGTGGAAGCAGTAGCAGGAGCAGCAGTGGCAGCAGCAATAGTGGAAGCAGGAGCAGCAGCAGCAATAAGAACAGTGAAAGCAGCAGCAGGAGCAGCAAAAGCAGGAGCAGCAATAACAACAACAACGGAAGCAGTAGCAGCAATCGGAACAGCAGCAGCAGGAGAAACAACAGTGGAAGCAGCAGCAGCAGCAGAAGCAGCAGCAGTAACAACAACAGTGGAAGCAGTCGGAACAGCAGCAGCAGGAGAAACAACAGTGGAAGCAGCAGCAGCAGAAGCAGGAGCAGTAACAACAACAGTGGAAGCAGGAGCAGCAGGAGCACCAGCAACAGCAACAACAGTGGCAGCAGTAGCAGAAGAAGAAACAGCGGCGGCAGAAACAACAGTCGCAACAACAGCGGAAGCAGCACCAGGAGCAGCAACAGCAGTGGAAGCAGTAGCAGGAGCAGTAGCAATAGTGGAAGCAGGAACAGCAGCAGCAAGAACAGTGGAAGCAGCAGCAGAGCAGCAAAAGCAGGAGCAGCAATAACAACAACAACGGCAGCAGCGGCAGTAGGAACAGCAGCAGCAGGAGGAATAACAGTGGAAGCAGCAGCAGTAGCAACAACAGTGGAAGCACAGCAGCAGAAGCAGCGGCAGTAACAGCAGAAGCAGCAGCAGCAGGAGCAGAAGCAGCAGCAGCAGTAACAATAACAGTGGAAACAGCAGCAGCAGAAGCAGCAGGAGCAGAAGCAGCAGCAGAGTAACAATAACAGTGGAAACAGCAGCAAGCAGAAGCAGCAGAGTAACAACAACAGTGGAAGCAGCAGCAGCAGCAGCCAGCAGCAGCAAAAGCAACAACAGGGAGCAGCAGGAGCAGAAACAGCAGCAACTACAACGGAAGCAGCAGCAGCAATCGCAGCAGCAGCATCAACAGTGAAGCAGCAGAAGCAGCAGCAGTACAGTGGAAAGCAGCAGCAGCAGAAGCAGCAGTAAACAACAACAGTGGAAGCAGCAGCAGCAACAGCAACAACAGTGGCAGCAGTAGCAGAAGAAGAAACAGCGGCGGCAGAAACAACGTCGCAACAACAGCGGAAGCAGCACCAGGAGCAGCAACAGCAGTGGAAGCAGTAGCAGGAGCAGTAGCAATAGTGGAAGCAGGAACAGCAGCAACAATAAGAACAGTGGAAGCAGCAGCAGGAGCAGCAAGCAGGAGCAGCAATAACAACAACAACGCAGTAGGAACAGCAGCAGCAGAGGAATAACAGTGGAAGCAGCAGCAGCAGTAGCAACAACAAACAGGGAAGCAGCAGCAGGAGCAGAAAGCAGCGGCAGTCAGCAGTGGAAGCAGCAGCAGCAGAGCAGAAGCAAGCAGCAGCAGTAACAATAACAGTGACAGCAGCAGCAGCAGCAGGAGCAGAAGCAGCAGCAGCAGTAACAATAACAGTGGAAACAGCAGCAGCAGAAGCAGCAGCAGTAACAACAACAGTGGAAGCAGCAGCAGCAGGCAGCAGCAGCAGCAAGCAGCAAGCAACAACAGTGGAAGCAGCAGGAGCAGAAACAGCAGCAACTACAACGGAAGCAGCAGAGCAAAACGAGCAGCAGCATCAACAGTGAAGCAGCAGCAGCAACAGTGGAAGCACAGCAGCAGAGCAGCAACAACAACAGTGGAAGCAGCAGAGGAGCAACAGCAGTTCAGCAGGAGAGCAACAGCAACAACAACAGTGGAAGCAGCAGAAGGAGCAGGAGCAGCAACAACAGTGGAAGCAGCAGCAAGCAGCAGGAGCAGCAGCAGTAACAATAACAAAACAGCAGCAAGCAAGAAGCAGCAGCAGTAACAACAACAGTGGAAGCAGCAGCAGCAGAAGCAGCAGCAACAGCAACAACAGTGGAAGCAGCAGCAGCAGGAGCAGTAACAACAACAGTGGAGGCAGCAGAAGGAGCAGCAGCAGCTTCAGAAGGAGGAACAACAGCAGCAGCAGGAGCAGCAGCAGTAACAACAACAGTAGAAGCAGGCGCAGCAGCGGCGGCAGAAACAGCCGCAACAACAGCGGGAGCAGCACCAGGAGCAGCAACAACAGTGGAAGCAGTAGCAGGAGCAGCAGTGGCAGCAGCAATAGTGGAAGCAGGAGCAGCAGCAGCAATAAGAACAGTGAAAGCAGCAGCAGGAGCAGCAAAAGCAGGAGCAGCAATAACAACAACAACGGAAGCAGTAGCAGCAATCGGAACAGCAGCAGCAGGAGAAACAACAGTGGAAGCAGCAGCAGCAGCAGAAGCAGCAGCAGTAACAACAACAGTGGAAGCAGTCGGAACAGCAGCAGCAGGAGAAACAACAGTGGAAGCAGCAGCAGCAGAAGCAGGAGCAGTAACAACAACAGTGGAAGCAGGAGCAGCAGGAGCAACAGCAACAACAGTGGCAGCAGTAGCAGAAGAAGAAACAGCGGCGGCAGAAACAACAGTCGCAACAACAGCGGAAGCAGCACCAGGAGCAGCAACAGCAGTGGAAGCAGTAGCAGGAGCAGTAGCAATAGTGGAAGCAGGAACAGCAGCAGCAATAAGAACAGTGGAAGCAGCAGCAGGAGCAGCAAAAGCAGGAGCAGCAATAACAACAACAACGGCAGCAGCGGCAGTAGGAACAGCAGCAGCAGGAGGAATAACAGTGGAAGCAGCAGCAGCAGTAGCAACAACAGTGGAAGCAGCAGCAGGAGCAGAAGCAGCGGCAGTAACAGCAGTGGAAGCAGCAGCAGCAGGAGCAGAAGCAGCAGCAGCAGTAACAATAACAGTGGAAACAGCAGCAGCAGAAGCAGCAGGAGCAGAAGCAGCAGCAGCAGTAACAATAACAGTGGAAACAGCAGCAGCAGAAGCAGCAGCAGTAACAACAACAGTGGAAGCAGCAGCAGCAGCAGCAGCAGCAGCAGCAAAAGCAACAACAGTGGAAGCAGCAGGAGCAGAAACAGCAGCAACTACAACGGAAGCAGCAGCAGCAAAACGAGCAGCAGCATCAACAGTGGAAGCAGCAGCAGTAACAACAGTGGAAGCAGCAGCAGCAGGAGCAGCAACAACAACAGTGGAAGCAGCAGAAGGAGCAACAGCAGCTTCAGCAGGAGGAGCAACAGCAACAACAACAGTGGAAGCAGCAGAAGGAGCAGGAGCAGCAACAACAGTGGAAGCAGCAGCAGCAGAAGGAGCAGCAGCAGTAACAATAACAGTGGAAACAGCAGCAGCAGAAGCAGCAGCAGTAACAACAACAGTGGAAGCAGCAGCAGCAGAAGCAGCAGCAACAGCAACAACAGTGGAAGCAGCAGTAGCAGAAGCAGCAGCAACTACAACGGAAGCAGCAGCAGCAAAAGGAGCAGCATGAACAGCAGCATCAACAGTGGAAGCAGCAGAAGCAGCAGCAGCAACAACAGTGGAAGCAGCTGCAGCAGGAGCAGCAACAACAACAGTGGAAGCAGCAGAAGGAGCAACAGCAGCTTCAGCAGGAGGAGCAACAGCAACAACAACAGTGGAAGCAGCAGAAGGAGCAGGAGCAGCAACAACAGTGGAAGCAGCAGCAGCAGAAGGAGCAGCAGCAGCTTCAGCAGGAGGAGCAACAGCAACAACAACAGTGGAAGCAGGAGGAGCAGTAGCATCAACAGTGGGTGCAGCAGTAGGAGCAGCAGAAGCAGCAACAATAACAACAACAGTGGAAGCAGCAGCAGCAGGAGCAGCAACAACAACAGTGGAAGCAGCAGCAGCAGAAGGAGCAGCAGCCGTTTCAGCAGGAGACAGCAGCAGCAAGCAGGAGCAGCAGCAGTAACGACAGTGGGAGCAGCAGGAGCAGCAGCAACAACAGTAGAAGCAGCAGCAGCAGCCGCTTCAGCAGGAGGAGCAACAGCAACAACAATAGTGGAAGCAGCGGGAGCAGCAGCATCAACAGTGGAAGCAGCAGAAGGAGCAGCAGCTTCAGCAAGAGGAGCAACAACAACAGTGGAAGCAGCAGGAGCAGTAGGAGTAGCAGCAACAACAACAGTGGAAGCAGCAGCAGCAAAAGGAGCAGCAGGAGCATTAACAACAACAGTGGAAGCAGCAGTAGCTTCAGCAGGAGGAGTAACAGCAGCAGCAGGAGCAGCAGCAGTAACAACAACAGTAGAAGTAGGTGCAGCAGCGGCGGCAGAAACAGCCGCAACAACAGCGGAAGCAGCACCAGGAGCAGCAAAAACAGTGGAAGCAGTAGCAGGAGCAGCAGCAATAGTGGAAGCAGGGGCAGCAGCAGCAAAACCAGGAACAGCAATAACAACAACAACGGAAGCAGTAGCGGCAGTAGGAACAGCAGCAGCAGGAGGAACAACAGTGGAAGCAGCAGCAGCAGGAGCAACAGCAACAGAAACAACAGTGGAAGCAGAAGCAACAGCAACAACAGTTGAAACAACAGCAGCAGAACAGCAGCAGTAACAGTGGAAGAAGCAGCAGCAGGAGCAGAAGCAGCAGCAACAGCAACAACAGTGGAAGCAGCAGCAGCAGGAGCAGAAGCAACAGCAACAACACTGGAAGCAGCAGCAGCAGTAGCAGAAGCAGCAGCAACAGCAACAACAGTGGAACCAACAACAACAGTGGAAGCAGCAGCAGCAGGAGCAGAAGCAGCACCAACAGCAACAACAGTGGTAGCAGCAGGAGCAGAAACAGCAGCAACTACAACGGAAGCAGCAGCAGCAAAACGAGCAGCAGGAGCAGCAGCATCAACAGTGGAAGCAGCAGAAGCAGCAGCAGTAACAACAGTGGAAGCAGCAGCAGCAGGAGCAGCAACAACAACAGTGGAAGAAGCAGAAGGAGCAACAGCAGCTTCAGCAGGAGGAGCAACAGCAACAACAACAGTGGAAGCAGCAGAAGGAGCAGGAGCAGCAACAACAGTGGAAGCAGCAGCAGCAGAAGGAGCAGCAGCAGTAACAATAACAGTGGAAACAGCAGCAGCAGAAGCAGCAGCAGTAACAACAACAGTGGAAGCAGCAGCAGTAGTAACAACAACAGTGGAAGCAGCAGCAGCAGAAGCAGCAGCAACAGAAACAACAGTGGAAGCAGCAGGAGCAGAAACAGCAGCAACTACAACGGAAGCAGCAGCAGCAAAAGGAGCAGCAGGAGCAGCAGCATCAACAGTGGAAGCAGCAGAAGCAGCAGCAGTAACAACAGTGGAAGCAGCTGCAGCAGGAGCAGCAGCAACAACAGTGGAAGCAGCAGAAGGAGCAACAGCAGCTTCAGCAGGAGGAGCAACAACAACAACAACAGTGGAAGCAGCAGAAGGAGCAGGAGCAGCAACAACAGTGGAAGCAGCAGCAGCAGAAGGAGCAGCAGCAGCTTTAGCAGGAGGAGCAACAGCAACAACAACAGTGGAAGCAGGAGGAGCAGTAGCATCAACAGTGGATGCAGCAGTAGGAGCAGCAGAAGCAGCAACAATAACAACAACAATGGAAGCAGCAGCAACAACAACAGTGGAAGCAGCAGCAGCAGAAGGAGCAGCAGCCGTTTCAGCAGGAGGAGCAGCAGCAGCAGCAGGAGCAGCAGCAGTAACAACGACAGTGGGAGCAGCAGGAGCAGCAGCAACAACAGTAGAAGCAGCAGCAGCAGCCGCTTCAGCAGGAGGAGCAACAGCAACAACAACAGTGGAAGCAGCGGGAGCAGCAGCATCAACAGTGGAAGCAGCAGAAGGAGCAGCAGCTTCAGCAAGAGGAGCAACAACAACAGTGGAAGCAGCAGGAGCAGTAGGAGTAGCAGCAGCAACAACAGTGGAAGCAGCAGCAGCAAAAGGAGCAGCAGGAGCATTAACAACAACAGTGGAAGCAGCAGTACTTCAGCAGGAGGAGTAACAGCAGCCTGCAGGAGCAGCAGCAGTAACAACAACAGTAGAAGCAGGTGCAGCAGCGGCGGCAGAAACAGCCGCAACAACAGCGGAAGCAGCACCAGGAGCAGCAAAAACATTGGAAGCAGTAGCAGGAGCAGCAGCAATAGTGGAAGCAGGGGCAGCAGCAGCAAAACCAGGAACAGCAATAACAACAACGGAAGCAGTAGCGGCAGTAGGAACAGCAGCAGCAGGAGGAACAACAGTGGAAGCAGCAGCAGCAGGAGCAACAGCAACAGAAACAACAGTGGAAGCAGAAGCAACAGCAACAACAGTTGAAACAACAGCAGCAGAACAGCAGCAGTAACAGTGGAAGAAGCAGCAGCAGAAGCAGCAGCAACAGCAACAACAGTGGAAGCAGCAGCAGCAGGAGCAGAAGCAACAGCAACAACACTGGAAGCAGCAGCAGCAGCAGCAACAGCAACAACAGTGGAAGCAGCAACAACAACAACAGTGGAAGCAGCAGCAGCAGGAGCAGAAGCAGCAACAACAGTGGTAGCAGCAACAACAGCAGGAGCAGAAGCAGCAGCAGTAACAACAGCAGTGGAAGCAGAAGCAGCAGCAGTAACAACAACAGTGGAAGCAGAAGCAGCAGCAGGAGCAGAAGCAGCAGCAACAGCAACAATAGTGGAAGCAGCAGCAGCAAAAGGAGCAGCAGGAGCAGCAGCATCAACAGTGAAAGCAGCAGAAGCAGCAGGAGCAGCAACAACATTGGAAGCAGCAGAAGGAGCAGGAGCAGCTACAACAACAGTGGAAGCAGGAGAAGGAACAACAGCAGCTTCAGCAGGAGGAACAATAGCAACAACAGTGGAAGCAGCAGAAGGTGCAGCAGTAGCAACAACAGTGGAAGCAGCAGCAGCAGCTTCAGCAGGAGGAGCAATAGCACCAACAATAGTGAAAGCAGCAGAAGGAGCAGCAGCAGCAGCAACAGCAGTGGAAGCAGCAGCAGCAGAAGGAACAGCAGCAGCTTCAGCAGGAGGAGAAACAGCAACAACAACAGTAGAAGCAGCAGAAGGAGCAGCATCAGCAGGAGCAGCAGTAGTAACAACAGTAGAAGCAGTTGCAGCAGCGGTGGCAGAAACAACGGCAACAACAGCGGAAGCAGCACCAGGAGCAGCAACAGCAGTGGCTGCAGTAGTAGGAGCGGCAGTAGCAGCAGCAATAGTGGAAGCAGGAGCAGCAGCAATAAGAACAGTGAAAGCAGCAGCAGGAGCAGCAATAACAACAACAACACCGGAAGCAGCAGCAGCAGCAGGAACAACAGTGGAAGCAGCAGCAGCAACAGAAGCAGCAGCAGTAACAACAACAGTGGAAGCAGCAGGAGCAAAAGGAGCAGCAACAGCAACAACAATGGAAGCAGCAGGAGCAGAAGCAGCAGCAGTAACAACAACAGTGGAAGCAGCAACAACAACAGCAGTGGCAGCAGCAGGAGCAGAAGCAGCAGCAACAGCAACAACAGTGGAAGTAGCAGCAGCAAAAGGAGCAGCAACATCAACAGTGGAAGTAGCAGTAGTAACAACAACATTGGAAGCAGCAGGAGCAGCAGCAACAACAGTGGAATCAGCAGGAGCAGCAACAACAACAGTGGAAGCAGCAGCAGCAGAAGGAGCAGCAGCAGCTTCAGCAGGAGGAGCAACATCAACAACAACAGTGGAAGCAGCAGAAGGAGCAGCAGCAACATCAACAGTGGAAGCAACAGAAGCAGCAGCAACAACAGTGGAAGCAACAGAAGCAGCAGCAACAACAGTGGAAGCACCAGCAGCAGCTTCAGCAGGAGGAGCAACAGCAGCAACAACAGTGGAAGCAGCAGAAGGAGCAGCAGCAACAACAACAGTGGAAGCAGCAGCAGCTTCAGCAGGAGCAGCAACAACAACAGTGAAAGCAGCAGAAAGAACAGCAGCAGCAGGAGCAGCAACAACAACAGTGGAAGCAGCAGCAGCAGGAGCAGCAACAGCTTCAGCAGGAGGAACAACAGCAACAACAACAGTGGAAGCAGCAGAAGGAGCAGCAGCAACAACAGTGGAAGCAGCAGCAGCAGAAGGAGCAGCAACAGCTTCAGCAGGAGGAGCAACAGCAACAACAACAGTGGAAGCAGCAGAAGGAGCAGCAGGAGCAGCAGCAGTAACAACAGTAGAAGCAGGTGCAGCAGCGGTGGCAGAAACAGCGGCAACTACAGCGGAAGCAGCAACAACAGTGGAAGCAGTAGTAGGAGCAGCAGTAGCAGCAGCAATAGTGGAAACAGGAGCAGCAGCAGTAGCAATAAAACAGTGAAAGCAGCAGCAGGAGCAGCAATAACAACAACACCGGAAGCAGCTTCGGTAGTAGGAACAGCAGCAGCAGGAGGAACAACAGTGGAAGCAGCAGCAGCAACAGAAGCAGCAGCAGTAACAACAACAGTGGAAGCAGCAGCAGCAACAGCAAAAACAATGGAAGCAGCAGGGGCAGAAACAGCAGCAGTAACAACAACAGTGGAAGCAGCAGGAGCAGAAGCAGCAGCAACAGCAACAACAGTGGAAGCAGCAGCAGCAAAAGGAGCAGCAGGAGCAGCAACATCAACAGTGTAAGCAGCAGTAGTAACAACAACATTGGAAACAGTAGCAGCAGGAGCAGCAACAACAACAGTGGAAGCAGGAGAAGGAGCAGCAGCAGCAGGAGCAGCAACAACAACAGTGGAAGCAGCAGCAGCAGAAGGAGCAGCAGCAGCTTCAGCAGGAGGAGCAACATCAACAACAACAGTGGAAGCAGCAGCAGGAGCAGTAGTAACAACAACAGTGGATAGAGCAGAAGGAGCAGCAGCAGCAACAACTGTGGAAGCAGCAGAAGGAACAGTAGTAACAACAACAGTGGAAGCAGCAGAAGGAGCAGCAGCAACATCAACAGTGGAAGCAGCAGAAGCAGCAGTAGTAACAACAACAGTGGTAGCAGCAGGAGCAGCAACAACAACAGTGGAAGCAGGAGGAGCAACAGCAACAACAACAGTGGAAGCAGCAGAAGGAGCAACAGCAGCAACAACAGTGGAAGCAGCAGAAGGAACAGCGGCAGCTTCAGCAGGAGCAGCAGCAACAACAGTGGAAGCAGCAGCAGCAAAAGGAGCAGTAGTAACAGTGGAAGCAGCACAGCAGCAGCAACAACAGTGGAAGCAGCAGCAGAAGGAACAGCAGAAGGAGCAACAACAACAGTGGAAGCAGCAGCAGCAGAAGGAACAGCAGCAGAAGGAGCAGCAACAACAACAGTGGAAGCAGCAGCAGCAGTAGGAACAGCATCAGAAGGAGCAGCAGCAATAACAGTGGAAGCAGCAGAAGGAGCAGCAACAACAACAGTGGAAGAGCAACAGCAGCAACAACAGTGGAAGCAGTAGTAACAACAACAGTGGAAGCAGCAGGAGGAGCAGCAGCAACATCAACAGTGGAAGCAGCAGAAGCAGCAGTAGTAACAACAACAGTGGAAGCAGCAGGAGCAGCAACAACAACAGTGGAAGCAGGAGGAGCAACAGCAACAACAACAGTGGAAGCAGCAGAAGGAGCAACAGCAGCA